TCCTTAACCTCCCTCTCTGCCAGAAAAAACTCTTTTGAGCAATGTCCATTTTCTTGATAGTTGTAAAGGGCATCAAATACATGGACATGACATACACACAACCTTAATTAAGTGAGTTAAACGAGTAGCTTCCTAAACATTTACGCTGTAACGGTGTAACCCTAAACCATAATGTGCATTGTATCATGATTATGGAGCAGGCGCTACATGACCGGAATGTTCTCAAGCTTATGGAGAACAACTTTTCTATTATTACCCAACACAAAACACCAAGAGAATTATGTAGGCACCTTAAGTTCTAACAAACATAAGTAGGATTTTTCTACTACACTGACAATATCAAGTTCATATAGCATGCAAGGCATCAACCAAATCTAGTCTAGAGTTAAAAGTAGACAAGTAAAATGATATTATGCTCTATAGAAAATAACCCCTACCATACTTAAGTATAAGTATATATTTACTGTAGTAAACCAGACAAGGAACAACACCATGCCACCATACCTCCTAGTCATCATAATCGAGTAAATGAATACCATATACATCATCAAACAGATTGGTAGCCCACACAAAATTTGCTCCCTCTCCTGCCTTCTCCCTGCTTGGATGTGTCGTTCTTCCATGACAATTTCAGCACTTAAAGTATACTCCCTCCATTGCAAAATGTAGTGCATGTCGGGATTTCAATGAATCAACATTGTAAACTTAGACCATCAGTTAGTCAAAATATATATATATTTAGTGCGTAAAGGGTGCATCAGCAGTTTCGTCACATATTCATACTTGTTTTCTGAAATCCTAATAAACCTCATAAAAATAAATGGAGCAAGTACCACACAAGGGGCTGGAGCCACCAGATTCCCTTGCACCGATAGCTTACATTCTGGCATGGCAACACCAGAACCATGTAGTACCACAACATGTGTAACACAATAATCTTCATCTTTCGGTCTTCATAGAATACACTCATTACTGATGGTGGGTGGTATATTTCTCCACTTTATAGGAAGCGGAAGCACTTCCCAATTAGGGCAGCCATCAAAAGAGGAATCCCATGGCCAATCAATCTTGTTATAGTTTCGATATCAGCACTATCAACTCTAAACCTACAAAAAAATGGAAGCCCAATCCATTGTTGGTACAAATTTCTGGTTAATTTTTTAATGACTCTATAAAGAAAGATGGGGCATATAGTTACTTCTCTGTTTCTTCTTTGACAAGGTTGTAAGAAAAGGACGACTCTTTTACATAAGCTATAAAAGTAGTTGCCTAGATCAGCAATTTAGTTACAACTCGTTTCATTTAGAATGCATTTATCTCAAATACCAATTAGATATTAAAACTAGAATACCTATCAGCATTTAATTTTCAGTGATCTCTTTGAACATGAAGGCTTCCTCCCGGTCCCTTTAGCAAAGCTTCGATTAAACAACGTGAGCGAGGAATACGGCACACCATGCATAACAGCAGCTTTTAGCATGATCTCAGTATGTTGATGTTCTGAACCTGAACCACAACTTAAGTAAGGTGACAGATCCAAATGTTTGCACTCATATGCACAACTTTTTATGTAATATGCATGATTTGGTGTTTCATATAATGTTTCTTCGTTAGTCATTTAGCATGCATTTGTGTGTGTTTTTGGCCGTGCGCAGTTAGAAAGTTTATGTTTTGGAGAGGGTTGCATGATGAAAATGAAATATTTGCATTTTGGATTGATTTTTAATGTGAAACTTGTGTGTGCAAACACTTTTGAGTTGTAATAGTTCAACTAATGGCTGTTCCTTGAAGAGGACTAAAGCTGGAACCTTCATTTTGTTATCAAAAAAAAGTAGAGGTTTGTAGATGTTGTCCTCGACTATAGTCTTGGATGGTTGGTTTCTAAACTAGAATGAGAGAGTGGAATAGTGAAGTGGTTATCTTCAATATGGAATGCTTTGCCCTCTTTATTCATGTGAGACACTATTTATAGTGCATATGTTACAACAGGTGGACCAAAACACCCCCACTATAAAGCTAGATTCTGAGCATATTCCTATTAGGGTAGGAGCATTTTAGTCCTTTCAACTTTTATCAAATCAGATTTGACTTATTAGAGGTCGATCATTTTGCATCACCACTATGTCCCTTTGTGACCAGCCTTGCATTGCAATGAGTCTTCACACTTTTGGGCAACTTGAGGATGACTTCGTTGGACCCTTCGGCTCCTTGGATGCGACCATGCCCTTGGCACCCCAAAGATGCCTTTGTTGGACCCTTTAGCTCCCTGTATGCGACCACGACCTTTGGCTTCCGATGATGGCCTTGCTTGTTGCCAGCGCATGAATGATCCCCTGCAAAATTATGTTTCCCATGTATGTCAAGGGTTGAGAAATGAGCATGCGAAATGGTGAGGATGGGGTCCCCAATGAAAACTATCACAAACGGTTTTTTTATAAACCGGAGGAAACTAATGTTGCAAAAATATATTGAATTTTTTTTAATTAAGGATTACAAATATTCATGTGTCCAGCATTTAGGAGTGAATGACTATAGTCAAACAATACAGACCCACGGTTCTTAGACTAAATTCCACTTTAAGAAGATTATGTAGTAGTAATTATGTGTAGTTTTATAATGCATATTAACGATGCCGTGTGCAAATTAAACCAGGACAAATCGGATGGGAGATCGATAGATCATATTCATATATATGGGCTGACTAATTTGACCGTGAATCAGTGCACACATATCTTATGCCCTAGTAAGTCATTATCGAGGAGATTGAAGTCATTCTCGACACGTCGAAGTGCATGCGCTTCACAACTCTTGACTCACGTAGTATTGGGGCTGCTAGTAGCTCTCACCTCTCAGATCCGACTCCCAGAGAAAGGGAGTGCAGAGGGGAATTCTGGACTATCAATGGCATTAATGGCACGCAAGGATGCTGCATTTTATTTTGATGAAATGGATGCTGCATTAATCACACCGTGTGCATGTGCTAAAAAGCAAGGGGGCATCGAGTTTGTGAATTGCCTCGGCATTTGATTTGTCCAAGCAAGGAACACAACAGCAGCTCAAGAAAGCATCACAGGGACTGGGGAATTGCCTCGGCGTTTGATTTGTCATTTTGAAGACATCAAGGCCAGGAATTTTGTATTTTGACATCAAAAGCACATTGTCCATCATCGAAGCCAGGGGATTAACAGTCAAAGCACAATGCCGCGCTATTTTAATCCCTATAAGTACGTCATCACCTGGATCGTTAGGGACTACAACTACCACTGGGCTTGCATTATTGTTTTTGATAGGCTCCCTCCCAACTTTTGTATGACCCATTTTGAACGGAAAGCTTTGGCTTTCAGTTTCGCTAAACACCATACAGGTAACGCTTTAACATACTTGTACTGCTGATGCATGAAAATTCTCCAGATTGTGCCAGTTTCTTTCGAGGAGCCAAAGGACAAACACCATAGCCACAACTTCGTGCTAAAAAAACACATGAGATCCAACCTAGTAGGAACTAGGTGCTTTGATTATCATTATCATTTCATTAAGAGAAATAGGCACCCAAATTCAGCCCAAGAGAGGACTTGAACCTAGGTAGTTAGGTGCATGACTACACCTCTCATCCGACCGGTTGAGCTAGGCTCACTTCCTCGCGCTGAGAAGCACCATATGTGTGGCGTAGCTGATTTTGTCATTTTGATGTTGTTGTTAAAATCCTATAATTCTCCTCTAACCCACTACTACTAATATTTGACGCAACCAAATTGAACTCGCACCTCATCGGCATGATGCATGCACAACACTATGTGTTATATTTAGCTGGTAGAGATCAACTTGTAGCCACAAGTTTGTAAGAGCATGCACCATACCTAACCCCAACGCGTTCATCGGTTGAGCAAATATAGGTAGATGGCATGCTAGGGGGGCACACACTTTGGTGAAGGCTACGAACCGTTTTGACATGGCCGGAGCCCAGCGATCCATCGTCGGTTGATCGGATGAGATGGATGGCGAATCCAAATGCTCGTCGATGTCGCCGAGGGCGCTACATCATGATACAACAAAGCATCATGGCCGTCTCCGGCATCATGGTCACCGTCCTCGTGCTCTCCGGCATCTTTCATTCAATTCATTGAAGGAGGAAGAGCTTGCTGCTTGTGAAGAACAACGGTGTGACGTCTCGGACAACAGTAAATGGAAGCGTTATCTCCCACATCCCGGTGAGCAAAGCGCGCCTATCTATTTATATTGATTGGTACAATTACTATGTCAAGTATGGGAAAGCATGGATGGCAATTAATCGAAATAATATTGATCAATCCACGAATTGCTTATGCTCATCATTTTCTTAATTAATAATGACCATGAAGGCAAGAAAAACAAATTGTTACAAAACAAATAAATAAGCAATACTTAATGGCATCGTGGTTGGGCCCGACGGTGCTTGGCCGTGCCATAAACCTCATAATTGGGACACATCCATTGGCGCGACGCCGGCTACCGCAAGCTGGCATAATTCGCTTCGTCCGCATGGTGTTCATGTTCTTCATCGGCCTCGAGTTGGACTGCGCATACCTGATTACCGCAACCTACGCCGCTCTCTAGTTGTGGCTGCGGCGCGGCTCCGGATCTTCCGGATCTCCTCCTCGCCATCTTTGGCGGGCCCTTCTCCTAAGCACGGCTTCAAACACAAAATTTAACTCGGCGGGGCCACTTCAACAATCATTTGAACCAACATCTCGCCTCCACCGCGCTCCGAATCGCGATCGTGCTCACCTTGGTCATGCACCGCCTCACCCGTCCTCCCTAATGAAGATCGTCACCAAGCTCTGTCGACCGGTTCAAACCAGACAGATCGCCATCTAAGCCATACGCCGCCACCTTACCAACATGACATGCACTCCACATGCCTCACCGCTCTAAGCGTCATCATTGTCACCCACCTGTGACGGCAAGGTGCCCAAGGAGAAAGAGTCTCGCGCCGGCCAAGGCAGGGGGCGGTGGTGGCGTGGATGGCGGCGGCGGTGTGGATGGCCGTGAACCTTCTTGGCGTGTGGTGGCGCGCATGCTCAACCGCTCAAGCCGGAGGCGATACATCGAGTACATCAAGGCAAGACCTCGTGGTGGACCATACCTTCTGGCGTATGCTGCTCCTTGTCGTGGGCCTCTCAATGCTCAAAAAAGCAGATCATGGGCTGCTGACGCCTCCCATGACGGCCTTCCTCATCGGCCTCGCCATGCCACGCGAGGGCCCAACTAGGTGCTTTGATTATCATTATCATTTCATTAAGGACGCTAATGGAGGACCACCGCCTCGCCTACCCATGCACCAGCTCTTCATGCCACTGCGCCGGGGCCATCGGTGCTCGCCTCGACTTCGCCAAGATTGGGAACTTCACGGTGGTCCAGCTCATCGTGGCCGTTACCTTCACCACGTTGTTGAGCACGGCGGGGAAGGTGGCCGGCACCGTGCTGGCAGGGCGGGCGTTGGGCATCGCCACTCGAGAGGCCGTCGTGCTGGGTGCACTGCTCAACGTCAAGGGCTACTCGGATATCCTCGCCATCAACTTTGGGAACAAGATCAATGTATGGGGAGAGACCATGCAGGTGGTGCTTCTCATATCGTCCATCATCAACACATTCATGGCCGGGCCTGCGTCCGCCGCCATCGTCCGCCAGCAGCGTCGCGCCTCCGGCTATCGCTCGCGCTGCCTCGAGGACCTTAGCGTGGACCATGAGCTCCGCATGCTCGTATGCATCCACGGCGCCACTAGCGTCTACTCGATGCTCACGCTTAGTGACCTCTCCAAGGGCAGGGCACCGGTCGCCGTGTACCTGTTGCACCTTGTCGAGCTTGTGACATCGCACAAGTACGCCATCACGCAGCAGCTGTACCATGCCCGAGACGGTGGCCAGGATGAAGACGAGTGGGGCTACGCGCGTGAGATCGAGCAGGTGGCCTCCACCGTGGCGACCTTCACCTATGACAATGCCATCCTCGTGCGGCAGATGACGGCCATATCCAACTTGGGTTCCATGGACGAGATATGCTGAAGCGGCAAGGTGTGGAGGATGCGGCGTGCGTCGCTAGTGATCATGCCCTTCCACAAGGAACAACGCTACGATGGGCGCATGGTGTGCCGCAAGCATGAGGGCGGCGCCAATCGAACCAACAGATCCTGCATAGGGCTCCTTGCACGGTGGGGATCCTTGTGGGTATTGTTTTTGCTAATGAGGTCACGGAGAGAATCATCGGTGGTGGCGTTGTTCTGGCGGTCTTGATGAGGAGGCGATGTCATATGCAATACTACATCGTCGCGGCGGATGGTGGCGAGTGCAACCATCGATGTGATGTTGTGTGCAGGTTCCTTCTTCCAAGCGGAAGGGGTTTATCGGGCAACCCGAAGGTGATGGAGGAGGCCATGGAAGATGAGGAATTCATGGCAGACCTATACGCGAGGTTTGTGGCACCAGGTCACGTATCATACATGGAGAAGTACGTGAGCAATGGCGCGGAGACAGTAAACACGCTTAGCTCCATGGTGGGTACATGCTCACTCTTCATCGTGGGAAAGGGCGATAGGGCCCATGGCAGCAGAGGCATGATGACAAGTGACATGGGGGACTGGGATGAAGAATGCCAGGAGCTAGGGCCCATTGGTGAGCTCCTGTCCTCGGACGACTTGGTAGGTTGTGGTTCTGTTCTAGTGCTGCAGCAGCATAACAAGCACAAGATGAAGACATGGAATAAGGGCAACCAACAACAACAATGTCATCAAGCTCAGGACCACCAAGCTAGTGTAGTCGATGCCGATGCTGTTGTTGACATCATTGGATCCTTCTCCAGCACAAGTAGTAGTAGTTATTATTCACAGCAAGCAAATTGAACTTGCTGCATGTACTCGAATATGTATTATATTTAGTTAGTAGAGATTATTTGAATTGTAGCCACAAGTTTGTAAGGGAATTTACAATCCAACCTAGCAATGTAGTACATCCATTGAGTAAACTAGAAGATGCCCCGCGCGTTGCTGCGGGGATTGCGAAGCATTTGGAAAAAATTAAGTAAAGATGATATGGAAAGCTTGAATTACTTGGAATGAAATTAAGTGGATATGATATGGATAGCTTGAATTAAGAGGTTAAAAATTAGTGGGATGACATGGCTATTAGTGTGAGATAGACTTCTAATGGGGATTAGCTATATGGATAGCTTGCATTTGAGATAGACTTCTAGTGAGGATTAACTTTATAAGAGATATAGATGTATAGGTAGGAGGCATGCTAGGGGACGCATGTACATGTGGAAGGCTTCACAAAACCAGAGCTGAGGATCAATTTTCATTGATTTGAAACAGTTGCGGTCCCTTTTGTATGAAAACAGTAAAACTGCTGCAATGCTTAACTTTGGTTTTCTTGGGCCATGACCCAGCGGATTTGAGATCCACTACAGCCCATGCCATGATGGGTCCATGGTATGAACATACTTTTGTTAATTGGCTATATATGTGGCTAGTTAGTTTTTTGAGCAGAAATGCAATTCTACCACATGACATGTTTTAGTATCTTAGGTCTGACTAATTATAGATAAAGATGTAGCAATAATCATGATATCAAATAAATATCATTAGATTTAACTATGAAATATATGTTCATAATAAATTAATTTAGACTCATAAATGTGAATATCATTTACTATAAATTTGATCAAACAAAACTACTTTAACTGGTACGTAACCCATAATTGCATTCTTTTTTACAGAAGGAGTACGTAGAGAATCACTTTTGTCACGGTCAGAGTCCTTGATTCTTTTGACGATGCAATATAAATATGCTTTTCATTTAAGCTGGAACAATTTTGTTTAAATAGAATATTTCTCTCACAAAGCAGAAACATTTTGTAGTGAGGATGGGGCATTCTCACGTGAAGCGGGAACATCTTATTGTGGAGTTGGTACATGTACATTTCCTGATGAACCTTGAACATTTCTAAAGTCTCTTCACATATGCAGATTTAACATTTTTTTAGTTAAGTTATAGCATTATTTTATTGAGTTCAAATCACTCACCAGGCTCTTGATCCGTGTTCGTCACATTACAACTGATGCTCTTGGTTAAGGAAAAAGTCCAACTCTATAAGCTTGCGCACTCTACAAATATTTCGTGCTAAGAGTAGTCCTGCTAAGATTTTTGTTCAGGATAGGTCTATGGTCAATCTGTTTAACTGTTAAGAGGAGCGTGTGAGAATGCTTGTATCCACCTAGTTATAGCTATTCCCTTTATGTGCGGTGTCTTTTCAGCCTAATATAAAACCGCTCAGCAAATCTCTTGCTGAGTTTTTTGTTTTTGAAAAAAAAAGGATTTTGGGGACGGTTGTGAGGGAAATAGTTTCTTCCAAGGACCAACCGATCCATTTGCACTGTCCTGTCACGTGAACTGCTCTGATCTACTAGGGCATGCGGTATGCCGTATGCCAAAAGCATTTCATCAGCTCCAATCTCGGCTTCCGCATCCACTTGTTTACTCCGCGCGACTTGCATGGACCACCATGGCCATGGTGATGGGGATTCGAACCTCACGCTTGACCAAGGCCGCTGCGCGTTGCTTAATTACCAAAAACGTTCATCCAAACGCAAGCCGTTAATAAATAATCAAAGCCCATGATCAGCGACGTGTTAGTAGCGCTCCCTAGTACTAGTTTTCTAATTCCTTTTTCGGCCGCCGTGCAACGTACTGAGAATCGCTATATACCCACTGACGCCTGGGCCCCACCGGCTGCATATGCTACGCTCGGGCCCATGTGTCAGTGGCGACGAGACCGGGGCGATAACAGTTTCTCCTTGCACGGAGACGGAGCACTCCCGTTTTCTACTAGTCCTCCAAGTCCAACAGTCAAACAGCTCCGGCCGAGCCCACCACCGGCAGTAGCCTAAACGCACACGGCTGCTGACGCGCACCACCACAGCCACCAGCAGCCCTGTTCATCACGTACACACCGAACTGACCAGCCAACAACACCATCATATGCCGCGCTAGCTGTAGCCTGTAGGCTGTAGCATCATGTTTCGTCAAACACACTCCCATTCCTTTACTCGATGCACAGACCTCGCCCAGCTTTCACGTTCCAGCGCCAAGGACAGGCACGCACGTCTCAACATGTCCGGGGAAAAAATAATGCAGCTGGGTTGCGTTGCTCTTTAATTGCATATAACACATCCAGCTCGCACGAAATCGCTAACAAGTACGTGTGTTTTAACAATGATAGTTGTTCACATCACACCCCAACTGCGTCATTAGATTATGCAGCCGGATCAGAAATGTGTTGGAAGAAACCGGGTTGAGAAGCAAGTGTTGTGTATAGGAACAAAAGCCAAGAACAAAAGAGAAGTATCCAGGAACCACTATGCAGTTATCCACTGCCGTCCCGTGTCACAAAACAAAAGAGAAGTCCCGTGTCCCGTGTCACATCCATAAGAAAAGGGGTGGTTTTCACACGTTTTTATGGTTCTGCTTGTAATGGTCAACCCCCGCATTTGGCAGTCCTGCGAGGACTAACATGAAGGGCCTCTTGGCACGGTTTATGCTGACTTCGGCTTCATCTATTTTGCGTAAATCGATGTATTGTAGTGTAAAGCTGTTTTGTAAGCCAAGGTTAAAATGAACTAAAAGCCGAGAAAAGCTAATTTTTTTGGTTTCACCGGCTTTGGCTTCACCGGTGAAACCGTTTTGGCTGAGCCGTGCCAAAGGGGACTGAAATTAAAAAAACCAGCTCATCCAGGTGCCATCAGGGGCGAGGCACCCCTCCCTCTCCGTCCCCATCCCTGCCTTCCTCTCAACAACCTACACAGAGCTACATATATGCCTCGATACATAATTCTGCTTGAGAGCCACCACAACACTAGCACTGACAAATCCCAAAAGTCTAGCTACAGCACTTCTCCAACGACCTCAGAGGCCAGAGCTAGATATCCCCATATACGCAGAGCTGAGCGCTGCCATTAATTCTCCCTCGCAGAGCTCCAAGATCGATGGAGGAACATATGGCTGGGCCGCTGAACCGCCTCCGACATCGCCGGCTGATGGACATAGCACCTGCAAGCGCAAGCGATTCAGGTACACGTACATCTCAGAGTTCTTCCCTGCTGCCGATCGATGCGACAGTGTTGTCCGGAACTGGGGTGATTGAGTTGTTGAGGGTGTTCTTGCTGCTGCTCCAGGGCATTCCGGCTCCAATGGGATGACCATCATGGTGTCGATTCTGGCGGTGGTCATCGTCTGCACTCTCTTCTACTGCGTCTACTGCTGGAGATGGAGGAAGCGCAACGGTGAGCTATCTTTCAGTTCGTCCAACATGACGCGATTGTTGCATTGCCAGTTTGCCACTCGCATCGCATGCACCTACAGCTGTACCCACCGGTTGCTGTCATGCTAGAATTATCCTAGTAATGACGAGAGCGTCTCATGACATGGTCCTTGCAGCTGTCAGGAGAGCTCAGATAGAGAGCCTGAGGCCGCTGTCCAACTCAGACCTGCCGCTCATGGACCTGTCCTCCATCCATGAGGCCACCAACAGCTTCTCCAAGGAGAACAAGCTCGGCGAAGGCGGTTTCGGGCCCGTCTATAGGGTAACTAAACTAAATGGCAGCACATGCTGTCAATTTCTAGTCTGTCTGCAGTAAAACTGTTCTTTGGATGATGGGATTAATCACGTCGATCGATCGACTGAATAAGTTTAAGTCGTTTCTTGGATTGGATAGGGTGTGATGGGCGGCGGTGCGGAGATCGCGGTGAAGCGGCTGTCGGCGAGGTCCCGGCAGGGCGCTGCGGAGTTCCGGAACGAGGTGGAGCTGATCGCCAAGCTGCAGCACCGGAACCTGGTCCGCCTGCTGGGCTGCTGCGTCGAGAGGGACGAGAAGATGCTCGTCTACGAGTACCTCCCCAACCGAAGCCTCGACTCCTTCCTCTTCGGTTAGTCATCAGTCATCACTCTGCTGGGACTGGGATATGAATTTCTTTTCTCGTGTCAGATTATGCGTCTGGAGTCGTGGAGCACGAACGAATATGGCTGAGATTAGCTCCACGATCGGTATTGCAGAACGAATGTACAGACTGTCAGATTTGGTTGATGCTTGGTTTGAATCTGAATATCTGATACGCGTGTCCGTAGGAGATGCACATGGCTACATCCAGATTTTTAGCTCATGGGCTCTGAGCTCTGCATATAGTTTACTGATTCTGAGTCAATTAGGTCGTATCAAGCTACTAGATCGATGCGAAATAGGTCAATGGGAAACCAAGTAGTAGCATGAAAAATCGTGTAGCATCATGTGCGTCACGCTTGTAACCTTGGTCAGCGTTATAAATGGTTGGTGATTGATCGATCTAATAAGAGGTTTTAGTTGGCCTATACATATAATTAAGAATTCTGAAGCCGAACTGTGAAGCGATTTTTGGTGAGCTAATTTGATGAAGCTTTGTTGTGTAATGCTAATCTCAGATACGAGGAAGAGTGGGCAATTGGACTGGAAGACGAGGCAGAGCATCATCCTGGGGATCGCCCGCGGCATGCTGTACCTGCACGAGGACTCGTGCCTCAAGGTCATCCACAGGGACCTCAAGGCCAGCAACGTGCTCCTGGACAACAAGATGAACCCTAAGATCTCCGACTTCGGCATGGCCAAGATCTTCGAGGAGGAGGGCAACGAGGTTAACACGGGCCGCGTGGTTGGCACCTAGTAAGTGCAGTGCAATGCCACACATTTACATTACCTTACATAACTCGCCGAGTAAGTAGTACTTATGTGCTGACCTGAAGCTCCCAACAACAACAAAAAATGCAGCGGGTACATGGCTCCGGAATACGCGATGGAGGGCGTTTTCTCGGTGA